GATATCTGCCAGTGTCTGTTTGTGTCTGTTAGTGAGTGTCAATTCCTGTATTTCAGTGTCTGATGATGTCTGTTAGTGTCTGTCAGTGCCTATCAGTGTCTGTTGGTGTCTGTTAGTGTCTGTCAGTGCCTGTCAGTATCTGTTAGTGTCTGTCAGTGCCTGTTAGTGTCTGTTGGTGTCTGTTAGTGTCTGTCAGTATCTGTTAGTGTCTGTTAGTGTCTGTCAGTGCCTGTCAGTATCTGTTAGTGTCTGTTAGTGTCTGTCAGTGCCTGTTAGTGTCTGTCAGTGCCTGTTAGTGTCTGTCAGTGCCTGTTAGTGTCTGATGATATCTGCCAGTGTCTGTTTGTGTCTGTTAGTGAGTGTCAATTCCTGTATTTCAGTGTCTGATGATGTCTGTTAGTGTCTGTCAGTGCCTGTTAGTGTCTGTTGGTGTCTGTTAGTGTCTGTCAGTATCTGTTAGTGTCTGTTAGTGTCTGTCAGTGCCTGTCAGTATCTGTTAGTGTCTGTTAGTGTCTGTCAGTGCCTGTTAGTGTCTGTCAGTGCCTGTTAGTGTCTGTCAGTGCCTGTTAGTGTCTGATGATATCTGCCAGTGTCTCTTTGTGCCTGTTAGTGAGTGTCAATTCCTGTCAGTGGCTGATGATGTCTGCCAGTATCTGTTAGTATCTGTTAGTGTCTGTCAGTGCCTGTTAGTGTCTGTCAGTGCCTGTTAGTATCTGTCAGTGCCTGTTAGTATCTGTTAGTGTCTGTTAGTGCCTGTCAGTACCTGTCAGTGCCTGTCAGTGTCTGTTGGTGTCTGTTAGTGTCTGTTAGTGTCTGTCAGTGCCTGTCAGTATCTGTTAGTGTCTGTTAGTGTCTGTTAGTGTCTGTCAGTGCTTGTTAGTGTCTGTCAGTGCCTGTTAGTGTCTGATGATATCTGCCAGTGTCTGTTTGTGCCTGTTAGTGAGTGTCAATTCCTGTCAGCGACCGATGATGTCTGCAAGTATCTGTTAGTATCTGTTAGTGTCTGTCAGTGCCTGTTAGTGTCTGTCAGTGCCTGTTAGTATCTGTTAGTGTCTGTCAGTGCCTGTCAGTACCTGTCAGTGCCTGTCAGTGTCTGTTTGTGTCTGTTAGTGTATGTCAGTGCCTGTCAGTATCTGTTAGTGTCTGTTAGTGTCTGTTGGTGTCTGTTAGTGTCTGTTAGTGTCTGTTAGTGTCTGCCAGTGCCTGTTAGTGCCTGTCAGTGGCTGATGATGTCTGCCAGTATCTGTTAGTATATGTTAGTGTCTGTCAGTGCCTGTTAGTGTCTGTTAGTGTCTGATGATGTCTGTTAGTGTCTGTCAGTGCCTGTCAGTGTCTGTTGGTGTCTGTTAGTGTCTGTCAGTACCTGTCAGTATCTGTTAGTGTCTGTTAGTGTCTGTCAGTGCCTGTTAGTGTCTGATGATATCTGCCAGTGTCTGTTTGTATCTGTTAGTGTCTGTCAGTGTATGTTAGTGTCTGATAATGTCTGTTAGTGTCTGTTTGTGTCTGTTAGTGTCTGTCAGTGCCTGTCAGAATCTGTTAAGGTCTGTTAGTGTCTGTCAGTATCTGTTAGTGTCTGCCAGTGTCTGTTAGTGTCTGATGATGTCTGTCAGTGTTTGTTTGTGCATGTCAGTGTCTGTCCTTGTCACTTGATGTGTGTAAGTGTCTGTTTCCGTCTGTTAGCGTCTGATGATGTATGTGTCTGTTAGTCTGTGATGATGTCTATTTCTGTCTGTTAGCGTCTGATGATGTCTGTTTGTGTCTGTTAGTGTCTAATGATGTCTGTTTGTGTCTGTTAGTGTCTAATGATGTCTGTTTGTATCTGTTAGTGTGTGATGATGTCTGTTTGTGTCTGTTAGTGTCTGATGACGTCTGTCAGTGTCAGACTTATAACGTCCTGTGTGTTGTCTTAAACGTTCTAACACTCTTGCTCCCCTTCATCCCCATCTATTGATGTGTCTGCTAGTGTCTGCTAGTGTCTGCTAGTGTCTGCTAGTATATGATGTCTGGTAGTTTCTGGCGTCTGCTACTATATCTACGTGTCTGATATCTGGTAGTGTCTTTTTATGTATGTCAATGTATGCTAGTTTCTGTTAGTGTCTGTCAGTGTCTGATGTCTGCTAGTGTCTGGTGTCTGGTAGTATATGTAAGTATCTGATGTCGGCTAGCGTTTGTTAGTGGATGTTTATGTCTTCTAGTGTCTGCTAGTGTCGTCATGTACATTGACCCGTGAAAATCCGAAGTAGAATAGGTCTTCAGCAACCCATGCTTGCCGTAAAAGGCGACTATGCTTGTCGTAAGAGGCGACTTACGGGATCGGGTGGTCGGGCTCGTTGATTTGGTTGAAGGATGTCATAGATCCCAATTGCGTGGATCGATGCTCATGATATCAATCACTGCATTGTTTGGTCCAGACTCGATTATTTACAGACCGCCGTCATATAGCAGGAATTATGCTGAATGCGGCGTAAAACAACAAACCAACGTCATGTACATTGACATATGCCATTGTGTGGATCGCATAAAGGAACACCTATGCCATTGCTAGCAGCTGTTTACAGGCAGAGATATGATAAACATGTAATAAACGTTTATTGGATTCTGTTCCCATGCTGGCATATTTCCGTGTTTATGAAAGTGCAAAAACACCATAAAAAGTTCCATTTGCCTATTAAGTATTCATAATAAATCTTACAGAAGAAAGTTAAATACATACTTTTGAGTCCTGTGTGTTGTGCAAAAAGTGCTACCCCCCCCCCCCCCCCCCCCCCCCCTTGCTTCTCCTCATTCCCCACCCCAAGCCGCTCATGCAGCAAGTTGAGTGGTGCATACGTTTCACCCCCACCGCCAACCTCTCCTCTTTTGCTTCTATAACATCCCCGAGGAGACCAGCTGTATTGGAATACTGCCCGAAAGCTTTATTTCATTCCAAATACCGCATGAATGAAATATTGTAAAATGTGTATTTACACAATTTGTCATTTTGACAGGTCCTTTTCATCGTTCGTTATTTCTGTTAACATATTCACAACACAGCGTCTCAATTGCTAGAGTGCACCTTTTACTGTCTTGCTGTCAATGAACGGCTTTGACACCTACATCCTGCCTACAGTTGCCTTACACTGCTCTGCCCATGAGACGAGATATCCTGCTTACAGTTGCTTTACACAGCTCTTCACATGAGGCGAAATATACTGCTTACATTTGCTTTGTACTGCTCTTCCCATGAAGCGATACTATCCTGCCTACAGTTGCTTAAAACCGCTCTGCCCACGAGGCGAGATGTCATGCTTACAGTTGCTTTACACTGCTCTTCACAGGAGGCGAAATATGCTGCTTACATTTGCTTTGTACTGCTCTTCCCATGAGGCGATACTATCCTGCCTACAGTTGCTTAAAACCGCTCTGCCCACGAGGCGAGATGTCATGCTTACAGTTGCTTTACACTGCTCTTCACAGGAGGCGAAATATGCTGCTTACATTTGCTTTGTACTGCTCTTCCCATGAGGCGATACTATCCTGCCTACAGTTGCTTAAAACTGCTTTGCCCATGAGGCGAGATATCATGCTTACAGTTGCTTTACACTGCTCTTCACAGGAGGCGAAATATGCTGCTTACATTTGCTTTGTACTGCTCTTCCCATGAGGCGATACTATCCTGCCTACAGTTGCTTAAAACTGCTCTGCCCATGAGGCGAGATATCATGCTTACAGTTGCTTTACACTGCTCTTCACAGGAGGCGAAATATGCTGCTTACATTTGCTTTGTACTGCTCTTCCCATGAGGCGATACTATCCTGCCTACAGTTGCTTAAAACTGCTCTGCCCATGAGGCGAGATATCATGCTTACAGTTGCTTTACACTGCTCTTCACAGGAGGCGAAATATGCTGCTTACATTTGCTTTGTACTGCTCTTCCCATGAGGCGATACTATCCTGCCTACAGTTGCTTAAAACTGCTCTGCCCATGAGGCGAGATATCATGCTTACAGTTGCTTTACACTGCTCTTCACAGGAGGCGAAATATGCTGCTTACATTTGCTTTGTACTGCTCTTCCCATGAGGCGATACTATCCTGCCTACAGTTGCTTAAAACTGCTCTGCCCATGAGGCGAGATATCATGCTTACAGTTGCTTTACACTGCTCTTCACAGGAGGCGAAATATGCTGCTTACATTTGCTTTGTACTGCTCTTCCCATGAGGCGATACTATCCTGCCTACAGTTGCTTAAAACTGCTCTGCCCATGAGGCGAGATATCATGCTTACAGTTGCTTTACACTGCTCTTCCCATGAGGCGATACTATCCTGCCTACAGTTGCTTAAAACTGCTCTGCCCATGAGGCGAGATATCATGCCTACAGATTCTTTACACTGCTCTGACCATGCTCTTCCCATGAGGCGATATTTTCCTGCCTACATTTGCTTTACACTGTCTTCCCATTGCTTGAAACTGCTGCCAATGAGGCGAGATAACCTTCCCACAGTTGCTTAACATAGCCTACAGTTAATCTTACTAATTAAGCAATGTATCCTGCTTACATTTGGTTTGCGCAGTTGTGCCAATCAGGCCTACACTTTCTTAAAACTGATCTGCCCATGAGGCGAGATATCCTGCCTACAGTTGCTTTACGCGGCTCTTCACATGAGGCGAGATATCCTGCCTACAGATTCTTTACATTGCTCTGACCATGCTCTTCCCATGAGGCGAGATATCCTGCCTACAGCTGCGTAACACAGCCTACAGTTAATCTTACTCATTAAGCAATATATCCTGCTTACATTTGGTTTACGCAGCTGTGCCCATCAGGCCTACACTTGCTTAAAACTGATCTGCCCATGAGGCGAGATATCCTCACCTACATTTGCTTAAACTCACCCAAACGATATCTCCTGAGGAAGCCAGTTTTGGATGATAAATGTCCATATCACTCACGTACTCGGCGTGTAACGTAACTATGCCTCGAGAGGGAGTTTTATGCGTGACAAAGGCGTGCGATTAGTTCAGGCGTAAAGTAAATCAGTGGTGCAACGAACTTCACAATGGATTTCAATACCATTTAATACTTGTCCACGCGTGTGGGCCAGGAGAGGGTCCTCTATGAAGTCTACAACATATTGTTTGTTGGGTCTTAACCCTGAAATTTCTTAATTGACATCTAAGCAAAATTTCATAATGCGCTAAACAGTATTCGTGTGTTCATCTTCATAACGCATACACCTGTTATTTCTTTGTGTTTGTTATGCAAACATCAAAGTACATTTAACGACAACAGAATACATTCAAAGATGCATCACTGCAGAATTTCTGCAACACATAAGAACGCCCATTAGATTGAATATTTTTGTAAATAACACATTTACAAGATACTCTAAAGGTCTCCGAGATAATAAGATGAAAGACTGAACGATAATCATTGTGTTGATCTGAAACATTTCTTGAATTGCTGTACAGTGTTATTCTTAAATTATATGATATGAATTTCAACACCGTAGGTATACAAATATTATGAGAATTGTGTCAATAGTGAATCATTATTCAACAAATTGCCTAAAGAAATGTTATACAAATACCGCATAACAGAAAATGCAAATCTACTTGTAAGTTCATTAGAACCGCACAGCATGTAGGCGGCCCAGCATCTGCGAGTGGAGGGGAGCGGGGTGGAGCGGGGTGGAGCGGGGTGGAGCGGGGTGGAGTGGGGTGGAGCGGGGTGTGACGGGGCTGAGAGTGGAGTGGGGTGGAGCGGAGTAGAGCGGGGTGGAGCGGGGTGTGACGGGGCTGAGAGTGGAGTGGAGTAGAGTGGAGGGGAGCGGGGTGGAGCGTGGTGTGACGGGGCTGAGAGTGGAGTGGAGTAGAGTGGAGTGGAGCGGGGTGGAGCGGGGTGTGACGGGGCTGAAAGTGGAGAGGAGTGGAGCGGAGTAGAGCGGAGTGGAGCGGAGTGGAGTGGAGCGGGGTGGAGCGGGGTGTGACGGGACTGAGAGTGGAGTGGAGTAAAGTGGTCAGGGACGGGGCGGGCGGAGAGTGGAGTGGAGTGGAGCGGGATGTGACGGGGCTGAGAGTGGAGTGGAGTGGATTAGTGGTCAGGGGCGGGTAGGGACGAGGCAGGCGGGACGGGCGGAGAGCGGAGTGGAGTGGAGCGGGATGTGACGGGGCTGAGAGTGGAGTGGAGTGGAGTGGAGTGGAGTAGAGTGGAGTAGAGCGGACAGGGGCGGGTAGGGACGGCGCAGGCTGGGCGGGCTGAGAGTGGAGTGGAGGAGAGTGGAGGGGAGCGGGGTGGAGCGGGGTGTGACGGGGCTGAGAGTGGAGTGGAGTGGAGCGGAGCGGAGTAGAGCAGAGTGGAGTGGAGCGGGGTGGAGCGGGGTGTGACGGGGCTGAGAGTGGAGTGGAGCGGAGCGGAGTAGAGCGGAGTAGAGCGGAGTGGAGTGGAGCGGGGTGGAGCGGGGTGGAGCGGGGTGTGACGGGGCTGAGAGTGGAGTGGAGTGGAGCGGAGTAGAGCGGAGTGGAGTGGAGCGGGGTGGAGCGGGGTGTGACGGGGCTGAGAGTGGAGTGGAGTGGAGCGGAGTAGAGCGGAGTGGAGTGGAGCGGGGTGGAGCGGGGTGTGACGGGGCTGAGAGTGGAGTGGGGTGGAGCGGAGTAGAGCGGAGTGGAGTGGAGCGGGGTGGAGCGGGGTGTGACGGGGCTGAGAGTCGAGTGGAGTAGAGTGGAGAGGAGCGGGCTGGAGCGGGGTGTGACGGGGCTGAGAGCGGAGAGGAGTGGAGCGGAGTAGAGCGGAGTGGAGTGGAGCGGGGTGGAGCGGAGTGGAGCGGGGTGTGACGGGGCTGAGAGTGGAGTGGGGTGGAGCGGAGTAGAGCGGAGTGGAGTGGAGCGGGGTGGAGCGGGGTGTGACGGGGCTGAGAGTCGAGTGGAGTAGAGTGGAGAGGAGCGGGCTGGAGCGGGGTGTGACGGGGCTGAGAGCGGAGAGGAGTGGAGCGGAGTAGAGCGGAGTGGAGCGGGGTGGAGCGGGGTGTGACGGGGCTGAGAGTGGAGTGGAGTAGAGTGGAGAGGAGCGGGGTGGAGCGGGGTGTGACGGGGATGAGAGTGGAGCGGAGTAGAGCGGAGGGGAGCGGGGTGGAGCGGGGTGTGACGGGGCTGAAAGTGGAGAGGAGTGGAGCGGAGTAGAGCGGAGTGGAGCGGAGTGGAGAGGAGCGGGGTGGAGCGGGGTGTGACGGGACTGAGAGTGGAGTGGAGTAAAGTGGTCAGGGACGGGGCGGGCGGAGAGTGGAGTGGAGTGGAGCGGGATGTGACGGGGCTGAGAGTGGAGTGGAGTGGATTAGTGGTCAGGGGCGGGTAGGGACGAGGCAGGCGGGACGGGCGGAGAGCGGAGTGGAGTGAAGCGGGATGTGACGGGGGTGAGAGTGGAGTGGAGTGGAGTAGAGTGGAGTAGAGCGGACAGAGGCGGGTAGGGACGGGGCAGGCTGGGCGGGCGGAGAGCGGAGTTGAGTGGAGTGGAGTGGAGTGGAGCGGAGTGGAGCGGAGTGGAGTGGAGTGGAGCGGAGCGGAGAGGAGTGGAGTGGAGTGGAAGGGAAAGGAGTCACGTAATGTCCGAGAGCGTGGGACATTGCTCATGATATTACATATTTGTTTGTCAGGCCCAGATATGTCTTTATTTTCGATTTAAAACAACAAACAAACATGCCGCCACGAACATGGGAAGATGGGAAACAGCGCCCAAACGTCATTGTGAAGCGCACATAATATGCGGGCTATATATTTTTTCCTCTAAGGGGGTGAATGTCCGCAACGTTACTCCAAAGTCAGCAACACTACAGTCATTTACCAGTATCACGTAAAGTCATCGACACTACCGTTATATACCAGCATCACGTAAAGTCATTGACACTACCATTATATACCAGCATCACGTAAAGTCATCGACACTACCGTTATATACCACCACCACGTAAAGTCATCGACACTACCGTTATATACCAGCATCACGTAAAGTCATCGACACTACCGTTATATACCAGCATCACATAAAGTCATCGACACTACCGTTATATACCAGCATCACGTAAAGTCATCGACACTACCGTTATATATCATCACTTAAAGTCATCGACACTACCGTTATATACCCGCATCACGTAAAGTCATCGACACTTCCGTTATATACCATCACTTAAAGTCATCGACACTACCATTATATACCATCACGAAAAGTCATCGACATTACCGTTATATACCCGCATCACGTAAAGTCATCGACACTACCGTATATACCCGCATCACGTAAAGTCATCGACACTACCATTATATAACATCACGTAAAGTCATCGACACTACCGTTATATACCCGCATCACGTAACGTCATCGACACTACCGTTATATACCAACACGTAAAGCGGCGACACTACCGTTATATAACATCACGTAAAGTCATCGACACTACCATTATATAACATCATTTAAAGTTATCGACACTACCGTTATATACCAACACGTAAAGTCATCGACACTACCGTTATATACCAGCATCACGTAAAGTCATCGGCACTGCCGTTATATACCAGCATCACGTAAAGTCATCGACACTACCATTATATAACATCACGTAAAGTCATCGACACTACCGTTATATACCCGCATCACGTAAAGTCATCGACACTACCGTTATATACCAACACGTAAAGCGGCGACACTACCGTTATATAACATCACGTAAAGTCATCGACACTACCATTATATAACATCACGTAAAGTCATCGACACTACCGTTATATACCAACACGTAAAGTCATCGACACTACCGTTATATACCAGCATCACGTAAAGTCATCGACACTACCGTTATATACCAACACGTAAAGTCATCGACACTACCGTTATATATCAGCATCACGTAAAGTCATCGGCACTGCCGTTATATACCAGCATCACGTAAAGTCATCGACACTACATTTATATACCAGCATCACGTAAAGTCATCGCCACTACAGATATAATATATATACGTCCGAGATGAACTTAACATTATTGCTACCTACTGTAGTCCAACGCAGCTGAACGTTGAACAAGACATCCTTTCTAAGTACAACAGATTACGACACCGGGTTCCAAACAAACCAGGGCCCCGTTCCACAAAGCGATGGAAACGCTAATACCCCGTTCACATGCACAACATTTACTCACGTAAGTAATTCTACACATGTGTAACTATACATACGTGTGTATATGTAAATGTACTATGCGTTCACATTTAAATCAACTTAGGTGTGTAAATAAAGTCTGTAAATGGTGTAAGGCGCATATATTCATCAGTTTTTTCACCACTTTTATTAAAAGTTTTAACATAAAACAGAATGTTTACCAATCAAAGTTGAATGAGAAGAGGGTTAGTTACTTTACCGAAATCTTCACATGAAGCAACATGTGTTTGATTTAATTTGTACACAAAGTTTTGACTCCTTGAAACCCAAAGAAAACACCGTCCGCCCAGCCCAGGATGTCGACATAAAGTGCGTAATGCTGTATACTGAATAGCGTAAACTTAAGAGTGAGTGAGTGAGTATGGTTTGACGCCGCTTTTAGCAATATTCCAGCAATATCACGGCGGGGGACACCAATATGGGCTTCACACATTGTACCCATGTCGGGAATCGAACCCGGGTCTTTGGCGTGACGAGCGAACGCTTTAACCACTGGGCTACCCGACCGCCCCCGTAAACTTAAGAATACAGAACTGTTGACAATTTGTTTGGTGTTGGCAAATCATCAGATATATTAATTAGATCATCCTCTGACGTTAACATAATTTACATTCTCATTTGCACCTGCTCCAGACATGATGCAAATATGCTCCTGGTGTAAATATACACTCATGAGTAAACGCGTTCACATGACGAGTATACTCACGTGTGTAATTTTACCCACGTATGCACATATACACACATATGTATGGAGGCGCATGTGATCGGGGTATAAGGCGCCTCGGTTCGATGTCGCGTCCCCCAGACGTACCACAAACCGATGATCGTACTTCGAATCCGTGTTCGTCCTGATTGTTTCTAAATGTATCGGCACCAGACTCACCAAAGGGGCACACGTCTAAGATCTGCATACATATTATGCGATACAACGATATATTTATTAAATACTCCTTAAAGCGGAGTTAACCTAAATTCACTCATGATGAGACGTTAGATAAGCGGACGATAGTGTTGTTTGGGTTACGTGGATCCAACTTGCTGGTACAGCGTGTTGGTCCAGCTTTGCCGTTGCGTGCTGTGTGAATATCAAATATCCGATGTACCAGTGATTACCCAAGGTCTCGATCTTCTCAACTGAAAATTACTTCAGTTGGGTATTTCGCACCTTTTCGAATCATCCCTGCTATATTCCAGCTATATCATAGCAATATCCCAACTATATCCCCGCTATATTCCAGCTATATCCCAGCAATATCCCCGCTACATCACAGCAATATCCCCGCTATATCACAGCTATATTCCAGCAATATCCCAGCTATATCACAGCAATATCCCAGCTATATCACAGCAATATCCAAGTAATATCCCCGCTATATCCCAGCAATATATCAGCTATATCCCAGCTATATCCCAGTAATACACCCGCTATATCCCAACAATATCCCAGCTATATCTCAGCACTATCCCAGTATATCCCCGCTATATCACAGTTTTTTCACCGTTATCTCCATCTATATCCCAGCAATATACTTGCAATACTCCCGCTACATCCCAGCAATATTTCAACTATAGCCTTGCAATATCCCAGCTGTATTCCAGCATCCCAGCATCTCAGCAATATTCCGGCTATATCCCAGCAATATCTAAGCACCCCAGCAACATCCCAGCTATATTCTTGCAATATGCCATCTATATCCCAGCAATATCCCAGCATCCAAAAAATATGACGGGGATAGAAACTACGAATAAATCTTGGAATCGAACCAGGTTGTTTGACGCCACAAGTCCCCATCGCCCTCTACACACACAGTCCCATGCAAGATTTGTTGGCGTCCACATCAGTTCGACATGTGCCATATTTAGAGCCCGTGTTAGTTTCTTTGTTAGGCTATGAAGTGTTGAAGCAAAGACGGTTTAGGCTTTCCACACTACACGGCGTCATATTACACATATACCACATCATCGTTTTGTTGTTCATAGTTGTAAAAGGGATACATGCCTCCCCATTTTCAGTCAATCTATATCTCCCGAGTTATCTCCCTTGTGTTTTGACAAACTGACGATCTAGATTACCAAGGCTTGCTTATCGCCAAGATATATCTATCCGTAATGTCTGTCCCACACAATATATCTACAGTAGGTGTCCCCCCCACCAATTAATCACGTTGCCACACAGTCTTGCTTTGTGCAATAGAAGAAAGTGCCCATTGTCCAACTCACAAGTCCATGGCCTAGGAAACCGGCTCTTGCAAGATGGCGACCGAAAGATGACACTATGCTTTTGCAGATGACATGTTCGTTGTGAGGCTCCTATTCAAAGATAGTGAGGAAGAGAGGATCTTTATTCAAGGGGAAATCTACCTCGACTCGTGATTATTAAAACATTTGTCTCCCGCCAGCCCTTGTCGTAATCGGATGCGGCAGGGAGAGGAGTGGTTATTGGACATCGGAAAAGTGGATAGATTTACGACAAGACTTCCCCACAGACAAACAAGCAACTACGGCGATATGCTCCGAGGTTGCTTCGTGTACAGTGGATTTTCCGACACTCATCAAATCACACACGAAGCGCCAAGACGAATCTGCAAATAAACTGCGTCCTGTTGCAACGCGCACCTGCTGCTTTGGATTCACATCGGGGGAGAACCTTTCATCAAAGTCCTTCGTATTACACAAGGAGGAGAATGTCACGTGTCCCCGGACAACAGGTGGAATACATTTGGGAAACTAATATTAAGCCTATGCTAGGTAGCATGTTTGATTAATCGAAATAATAAACATATTATATGTACCCTGATATTATATGCGTGAATGGTACTAATACTGATGTCAACCATAATCTAATGTTACTAACATACACATTATTTTTATATGGTGATAATTCGCTTATGCTAACACCTGGTATGTCATGATTAAAGATTTCGCGACTTTGATAAATAGAAATAGAAAACGAAATCATCTTTGAAGAATTGGTGAGTTGGAACGAGGTAAATGTTTGATGCGATACAAGGGTCTCAATCGATTCTACACTGTGAGAACCATGTGGAACCTTTGCCATTATGTCGGCTTTCTGAACGTGACGAACGCTGAACGTGACGTGTCAAACCCATTTGATGCTCACCTGCATTATAGAAAGTCAGACAAAACTTTGATGTTAAAAACATTCCCCCGGCAGAGATACGTCTCAGTACCCGCTGCTAATATTATCATTTCGGCAAACAACGAGCTATTGTTCTTTCAAATCTCAGGTGCGCTCAAAAAGTAATCCTGTACACACACAGACAACGTTATAGAGCACGAGCGAGGTATATCATTAGAGGATGCGCGCTTCTAGGCTCCATTAAATCTCGGATGAAAATACCTAAGTGGTTGACAGGCACAAAGAAACATAAGTCAAATGCTCATAATAAGTCTATGTGCAGTCGCCTGGCCACGCGACACTCGAGCCGGAACAATGAGGAGATTTCAGAAAATTATATATAAAGTTAGCTGTACTGAGTTTCAATAGTAAAACATCCTTGCTAGCGTTTCGGCCCAATAGCTTTGAATGCAGACTGGGAATCTGGCGCAAGTTTAAAACAATCCTCCGGTTCATCCCGTTTGCTCTTAAAAGCTCGCTCGACCATAGGGAATGGTTTTGCCGACTGTGGTTTGGTCCACTTTGTTTAGTTCGTGCACTGATAAGCGCAAAACGTCGAGGAGAAGGAATGAACCCCCGTGATTTTAAATATACACTGAACGCGCTCATAGATAGGTACAAGAAATTATAGGCTGTCATAGCATTAACTGCATTCGCATTCCTTAATCAATAACATTTCACTGTATGCCTAATTTCAGGCATTCAAAATATATACTTCAATGAGTGTGCTCGCGTGGTAGAAAAATACTGTTGGCGCCCTTCCCTTTCCTTAGCCTGGCCGCGTGTGCGCTACCGTGTTTTCCCGCGCGTGCACCTGAACTTTAAGCTCCGCCCCTGTCTGAGGAAGACGTACAGTGCATCAATTTTCATCATGGTAAAGCCCCACATTGTGGCTCTATTGGAGAGACAGTGTGATGCAGTGGTGTACACTATTACGGGTAGATTTCAAAGTAGAGGTCCGAGGTCGCTACAATGTGCTACCTGACCTAGTTGTACTGTATTCACGTTGGTGTGAGAAGGGGTTAC